GGACATCGCGGCGGCGGCGGCGGCGCGGCTGCGGCCCGAGGTGGTGACCGCCGCGCGCCGCGTCAAGGAGAGCTGCATTTAACTGGTGTGCGTCTCTTGTTCAAAGATATTCATTTCAACTGAACCAAAGGAAAGTTACATTTAAATAAGACTGATTGTAGATTTATTTGGTACCTACGTCGATGACGATATAGATAATGTTCCGACATCAGAATTTCAAATCGACCGATGAATTTTACATAAGTTTTTTGCGTACCGTTTCACATTCCGACCTACCAAATAAATAATACACATTTCGATGAATCCTTTGAGCGATAAATTCGTGTAAAGGCAAAAATCAACAGGACTAGTCCAAAAATAAAAATTGTGCAATACTCGATTTCACAAATAACGGGAAAATCCAGTCTGTATTACTATTGTTGTATAACAAATCGTTAAAAACTAATACTATTATTGCCTTTCGTAGAAAGGCTTTTTATTGATAAACAAAAAAAGAGGCTCTCATGTTACACATGTGTACAGAACTCAACTTATTGTATTATACAATTGTTATATATTTAAGACTTTCAAATGTATTAAGCAATGTAAATATTGTACCAATACCCAGCAGTACATTTTATTAAACCTTATTAATTTCAAGCATACATTTTTACGATGCATAACATTAAATATGTACAAATATATATCATCTTTTCGTGTATAAATTTGTGTCAATACATTTTTTGTTAAGTCCGTCCAATTTAGTTAACAAATTCCATTTTGTTTTTTCCTGTCATGTCATGCCATGCCACCATGACAGTAGAACAAACACATGCTTCATAAAATCCACAACAATATTAACGAAGGTTCTTTACTGTTTCAAAATCAAAATGTTTTACTAATACACGTAAACCCATATACGTTTTATAAGGATGGGATTAATTTGTCATTTTTAAGTGGTTCTCCAGATTTTAGTTACGAAAAAGCCGAATAAAATCAACTAATGAAACAGCATAGGGACTAGCACAAAAATTTGCGAGTAAGTCAACATTTTTTTTGGTATTACGTTTGTGCACCGGAATCGGGTGTAAAGTATACTTTACGGATGACGTTACGAATAGTTTCTCGAAAGTTTTCGTGCTAGGTCCCCCCAATTTATCATCGAAATATATACTTGTACTTCGTAAAGCTACGAGCTCACTTGAATTACAAATTGTAAATGTAAACTAGTTAGGTTTAAATTTAGATAGTTAAGTTACATTGTCTAAGAATTGTAAAGAAGCAATCATTTAGTTACATAATTTGTATTACGTAAACAATGAACTAGTAATACAAAAGAAAAGATTTAGGGCCTGTCCCACCAATTTGTAAATTTGATAACAATCCAACGTGTAAAATATATGATGGAAGTATCGGATTTTGTTACTTTATCTGACAGTGACGTTATTTTTAAGCAATATGAGCCTCTAACAACCAGTGGTGGGACATGCCCTGTGACAAATATTTAATAGAATTGAATTGTTAAATCAAGATGAAGCGGCTTGTATTTGACTAAATGATTGCTTGTATGAACAATTATTGTAAATCGTACAATTGTTCAATATATTCATATTTTACGGCTTTGTTTTGATTCTGACTGATGTTAGTGATATTGAAACGATGATTGTGAATGTTTATTAGTAATTAAAATTTAATTTTATTCATCTAATTATTCACCCTCATACATTGACGATTAGTAATTTATTTAACAGTGGCTGCCAGCAATGCCGCTCGAATAAGTCTGATGGTGCGTACAACACTGCAAAAACAAACATCAAACGCAATTCATAGGCAGTGGTAGAACCGTTATTTTGGCAACTCATAATTTAAAAAAAAATAAAACTATTCTGTAAAATTTATTATAAACATGTAGGGAAGGAAACATTTGAAGACACCTTTAAAAATACATTTCACCTGGAAAATTACATTTTTAAATGAGAAACTACGATTTATATTAATTTAAATGACTATATTTAAAATTTAATTAAAAATTCATAAATTAAGAACTACGAGTATTATGAATATCAATTTAAAGCGAACATATGAGCGCGCTAAATTTACTGGCAAGATCAAAACTAAGGAGAACCCAGAGTAACCTAGAGATGTAAGCAGAGATAAGCCATAACAAACCTCTGCAGAACAACGTGGTAAAGAAATTCTATATGTAACGACCTAGACTTTAGTAACAATAGTAAAGACACAAAAAGGTAGAGAATGGGTACGAGCATCGAACTGAAGTGTTTGGGTACTCTAGGTAAATTTGATATTTTTTGGACATAATTACGAATCGAAATCATTATTTTTGGATACTGAGTTGCAACTATTACATCTTTAAGGATTGTTAGCTTAGTCTTCTAATTGTGCAAAAACAAGCGTTATCTATTTCCTCCACAAAAATTATGGCAAATCTATCGTAGCTAAACACATGAAAATAATGTAGTCGTGAAAACAATTGCTAAAAGGTTTTTGACATAGCAATTAACAATTAAATGACACTTCAGTTAATTTAATTTCCTCTCTATTTTAATGGCTATTTGAGTTGATTGTCATTTGTTTTAACTGGTGTCGGCGCGCGCCCCGCCCTCCGCAACTCCGCACTCACATTTTGACAGTTAATTGCAGCAGTCAACAGTTATTTCCCGTTTGAAATGAAATCGCTGTAGACTTGTGGCTAGCAATTTTCAATTACCTGCCCCTCCTGCGTACCCGCCGGCTGTCTGGAGTCAAGAAAAACTTGAATTGTGCTGAAGAAAATTCACTTTTGCGTTCGATATTACATTGTTTTTGAATTATGGCATTATATTAAAGTGGGAGATTTTATTTGAAAATCAAAGTAAATGAGATACAAAAAATCTTTACGCCAATGTGGTTAAAATGCAATAGACGTCGTAATGCAAACTTTTACAGCTGTGGTGT